TGAAATATCAATTAGACCTCAGCTCAGCCAAAGAAATCTGTAAATATTTGAACCAATAAGGAAAAATACGTTTATTTGTATCTACACGTTCTTCAGCATCATCTGGTAGTTCTGTATTACTGAGCTTTCCGAAGCTCACTCTATTACTCACCATTGCAGGTTAAAAGAATCGTATCAGTGCATCTATCGACATCAGTAAGGAAGATCTTCCGGCGTTACTTGCAGAGTATGATACATGTTATTAGGGGGCATGTAATTATATTTTGTTTTATATATGAGTCTGAAAACTGTTTTATTTCTGCATACTGATAAATGATTTTATAAGTTTACATGTTCTGATAAAATGTTTTAAATTTTACGCTATTTTTTCAGCGGGTCGCTCCGGTGGCCCTAATGTGACAACCCAGATCGGATCGGGTTACCCGCATCGGTCTGGGGGGTTACAATAACAATCAAAATACATTATGTATTCATTCATTAAGTACTAACAAAACATTACCATAATACTCATATCTTATGGAACTTATTATGTTTTTTTAGTAGGGGTGTTCAAATTTCGATTTTAATTGATTTAATCAATTGAATATAAGTTTTTTCGGTTAATTTTAGGTTCAGTCGGTTCACGGTTAATAATTTTTTTTAAATTTTGGTTATCGGTTAATTCAGTTCGAAATTGGTTATTTAATCGAATTAATAGAAATTATTAAATATTAATATATTGTTTATATATTAGTCTTAGAAGTGTTTAAACTTCGGTTTTAATTGATTCAACCGACTGAATTAATAAAAAAAATTAATATATAATATATATTATTTATAAATTTCAGTTAGTCGATCGAATTAATCAACCTTTGTTTGGTTCGATTAATTTTTTTTTTTAAAAATCTAGTTCAATTAGCAGTTAAAGGGAAAATTTTCGATTAATAAATTTTAAATAATTCGGTTTGATTAGTTAATTGAATTAACCGATTCAACGTCCCTATTTTTAGTTGCATTCGGCCATTCGCAAGAAAACTTGAACGAGGCAATTCAAAAACTTAAAGCTAAAGGAATACAAGCTCCGGGGATCGTTTGCCATGTATCCAATGCGCAAAAAATGAAGAATTTAATAAACAACACCCTTGATGTTGATGAGCGTATGAAAATTTTCAATTCTAATGCCAATCGTTGAAAGAAAAAGAAACGAAGTTGAACAATATTGTTTATGTTTTATTTTCAATAATATGGGAAGATATATATGTTTATATCAAATGTTGTTGTAAATTTGTTTAAAATGCCTTTTTGAAAACAAACGAATCTATCTATGCTTTAAGTCGAGCCTGTCACGATTATATGTCGAAAAACGTCATTTTCCAACAATAAATAGAGTTGTCGGCAGTTAATTTTGATTGTTGTTGTTGATATTATTTTATAAACTTAAATAAATTAAGTCTTCTAATCCTAAGCAAATAAAAATTTTAAAATAATTATAATTTTAATAAAAAATATAATATAATTATATTCTTATTAAAATTTAAATTAAATAATAAATGATTAATTATAGATAGATCATAATATTTTTTCATATTTATTTAAAAAAGACAATTTGGTTAGTGGTATATTTCAGTGTGTAACGTTCATTCAGTGTAATATTTTCATGTATATATATATATATATATATATATTGAATGGAAAAACAGAGGCAAGAATTAGGAAAGGCCATAGTCACAAAATTGACACATCAAGTTTGAATTTTGGTCCAATTCCGACCACCCTATGATTTTGCCAAGTTGCCCTCTCGAGAACCTTACATCTTTTACTTTGTGGAATTTTATTTATTTTCATGTGAGAACTTTCAAGAAGAGATAACAAACTGAATTTTCTTTGGTTAAAATGTCAATTATTTTTCTTCCATGCTGAAACTAAAAACAAATCTCGTACGATTAGATTTGGTTTTTTGTTTTTGTTTCTTTCTAAACTAATCCATTCTACTTGATTTTTTTTAAATACATATAGCTCGAATTAGTTGACAAAATGGTACAATATAGGCAGCGTTAGTAGTAACATGTTAAACTTTAAAGTTAGGAACATATATTGGAAAAAGACATATAAAACTTTTTTATATGGTCTGGGATATTTTTTTTTGTTAAGCAAAATAACACTATGTAGTTAGATGATCATTTTATAATTTTTAATAGTTGAAAATTCAATAAATAACGTCTTATTGTTAGAGAATCATTTATGTACTTTAACCAAATAATAATTTGTAAAATTTTGTTGAGGAATTAATAATTACAAAATGTTGGGAATAGACGGCCAAATTGTAATTCACGCAAAATCTTTTCTTGATCCTCAATGTCGTCCTATTAAATTTAATAATTTATTATAATGATAGGAAATGCGAAATAAATATTATATATTTAACAAAGATGAAAAGGATATTATAAATTTTACAGACACGAAATATATATTAAATTTATAAGTTACGTATATATGAAAAATATATAAAAACACGATAAAAATATATAAAAATTAGCAAAATATAATTCCAATAAAACTTGAGATGACTGCTACTCTGATCACATAGTTGATTTTAGTCTATCAATCTGCATGTTCATGCAAAAGCATTCCTCGTGCAAATAGCAAGTCAATAAGATTCCTTAATTGCAAATTATACATCTTACTTGTAAACCATGTTGTCACATTGCTTAAAACCCCACACGTTGTTTGACGTTAATTTTTGCACTTGATTATTAATACATACCTTAAATTATTAATTAATCACTAAAGATTTTTTAGATTATTGCTTTTTAAAGATTTTTAAATCTGAGCTTTCTTTTTAAAAAAAAAATTAAGCCTAGTTGTTCGTTAAACACACCTAATTGTTTTTTAAATGGTGATTAAGAGATTGCATTGATTGATGAGATCACTTTGAAAATAAAAGGAATAACCCAGTCACCCTCAACCTCCAAAAACTTAAAATTTTGAGTTTTTATTCACTGAAAAAAGGAGATATATTTTTTAAAAATTATTTTTAAATTTAAATATGTATTTATGATTATTATCTTTAAAACGATAATGTAATGTTATAGTTTATATTTAATATCGTGGATAATAATATGAAATTCAATCGTCATTGTCGATTCTTTTTATTTCTTCTTATTCTTTCTATTTTCTTTTTTTATTCTTCATCTTCTTAAATTTTATTTTATATATTTGATTTATATATTTATTTTCATTTATTTAATAAATTTTTCTCTTTTCTTATGAAACCTATGGATGTTTGTCTATCCTAGTGGCATATTTTTATCTTATCTTTGTATGTTTTTTTAAATTAAATTTATCGTCATCTCTTCTGCTAATGATAATAAAATATGACTTATTTTTGTCTACCCTAAACCCATTTTCACTTATTTTTTTTATTAAAAAGTCTTCCATGTACATGGTCTGTTTTAATCTTGACCCTGACATATATAAATGTTTACTTTAAAAATAATTTTAGAAACAATACATTATCTCTTCCATATGTTATTGTACAATGCTTCTGGTAGGACCCTGGAGGAGAGATTCCACGTTATCTCTTCCATGTGCACTTTGTTTTCCCAAATACGTTATAGACCTCCCTTCAAATCACAAACCATCCTCGCCTCCCACCAACGCGTCATTTCTTTTACCAATCCTTTCGATTTTTTTCATCGCCAAGTATATATCATAATATTCTTTTTAAGATTTGAGTTTTAAACTTTTAGTATAAAAAATAATTTTGTTAATTATATTATTCAAGATAAGGTCACGATATCAGTTCAAAAAGATAAAGTATAATTAACGATAAAAAAATAATAAAATAAAACTAGAATAAACTAAAATTATGAGATCTAATTTAATATTTTTCATGTATTTTTTTAATAATAAAAATGGTAGACAATGTGCACATGGAAGTTAGTATGTGTATGTTCTTAACGATTAAGTGCACATGACTCAGGTAAACCTACTTCTAGATCCCTGGTTTGAGTAGTTAGTATGTGTATGTTCTTAACGATTAAGTGAGATTTTAAACCTATACTATCTTTATAATCATCATAGATTATTAAAAAATATATTTAATTTTAATATGGGTAATATATATATATATATATATATATATATATATATATATGTTAGAATATCTTAGACCATATACTTGAGCTAAGTATTGAAGAAGTTGTAGGCTAGGAGAAATGGGCAAGTAGGTCTGAGTTAGACCCATATACTTGGGCTTTAAAAGCGTAATCAAAAGATCAATGAATTTATGAAAATTCAATTCCTATTCTTCTAGTATAATATCTAATTAAAATTAATTAAATTTCTCTATATCAATAAATTAAAAGATAATATATATTTGAGTATGTTTTAATTAAGATTCGATCGATAATTTAACTGAACCCTTATAAAAAATTATATCCCATTAAATTTTATGAACTATAATACAATCGACAAAGAGTAACGAAAATACTAATTTTTTTCCATAAGAGTAATCATTTTTTAATTATTCTTTTATTCGTTTAACTTTTAATTTGTCAACAATTAATAAGGAATTTTGAGAACTAGACAAAATTTTCTTTTTGATTTACTTTAAAAAAATAATATTAAGTTCTAAAGCAGTAATTACCTTTTTATTTTCACTTGCATTACTTAAAAATGCTAATTTCTATTTTGTGGAAGGAACGTGAGAGAGATACCTACCTCAACAAAATCCATATTATAAAATATTATTAATGTTTTATAACATAAATAATATATTTATAAAATAAATAAAATAAATTTATTATTATAAATTAATTCATAAAATAAATTATAAAATATACTAATATTATGCTATAAATATATTAACATAATAATATAGTAATATATTTATCAATTACATCATATGTTATTAACTTGGTTTAGACATTGAGTTTCCCATCTTTACATTTACCAGTTGCCACGCGTCAAAAAAAAAAAAAAAACGAAAGCTGTTAGAATCTCATATCTCTAGTTCTAGAGGCAACTGTCTCCATACCAATTTCCCAATAGATTGAAAAGAAATGGCGACGGCAGTTGCGTTGTCTTCCTCACTCAAGCACCACTTAGTCTTAGGCATTCGAATCCCTCAAAGCCCAGCCCTTTGCCGCCGAAATGGAACCAGAATTTCAACTTTTAGAAGCTTCACAGTTGCAATGGCTACTCCTCTTGAAGTCTGCGTTAAAGCTTCCGTTACCACTCCCAATAAACTCGGAGACTGTAAAAATATCTTTCTCTCTTTCCTTTTTTCTTTCTTTCTATGACTCGGACCTGCTTGCTAACTGAGACAACGCGATACAAAGAAAAAAATTCTACATTTGTTCATCATTAAGTTAAATTCTTTTGTTCTTCTTGTTTCGTGTTGCTTGTTGTTACTTGTAATCTTGCATTTGTTTGAAATTGAGAATAATTTATTAATTGGGTTAGCTAGTTTCTATTCCCTATATTTCTTTCGAAAAATTTTGGAAGACGGAAGAACGTGAATATCCTGCTTTCTTATATTTGTTTTGAGATTTTTTTTCTGTATTTTATTTTTCGTTTGATTGAATCCATATATTTCAATAATCTAATATATTTCATAAATTATTGAATATTTCTGCATTTGTTCTGAAAACAGTAAGGCGAAAGAAAATTAGGAATAAATGTTTGTAATGTCAAAAATAGGAATATTGATTCATTAGAAGTGAGAAGTATGATGTGACCGGGAGCTGTGATGGAAAATTTGTTATCTGTTTTGTGTGTTGCATGGTTCAGGCCCTTTTTGCCAAAGGGTATTGCTGACTATGGAAGAAAAGCATCTTCCATATGACATGAAGTTGGTCGATTTGGCAAACAAGCCGGAATGGTAATTGCTTCTAAAAGTCACCTCTTTGGACTATTATTTGTATGGTATTCATTCGTCTAATAAATTCATCGGACTTCGTCTGTAGACCATACTGTGCTGCCTTCTGATTTGTTAGCTTTATTACGAAATCTGTTTTAACAATGCATGGGTCATATTCAGGTTCTTACAGATCAGTCCTGAAGGGAAGGTTCCAGTAGCAAAACTTGATGAGAAGTGGGTTCCTGATTCTGATGTAATTGCACAGTCACTGGAAGAAAAGTATCCCGATCCACCATTGGTTACCCCGCCGGAAAAAGCATCAGTGTATGTCTTCATGATCACTGTCCTGCGCCTTGATGTGATAAAGTGTGGGGTGAAGAGTGATGTCTTGCACACTTGCAGTGCTTGCTGTAGTACTGTTATCTTGCTTTCTTTTCAAAATATTACTCTTGCATCTTATCAGATTATACATTTAAAACTTAATCAAACAAGGACCCTGAAGCACAGTTTCAGAAACTTGTAATAGAGTCGGCTACCCCATTAGCTTAAACCGTCCAGAAAGCAAAAGTAAATTCGTCAGCAACAAATATCTCTAACATAAAAGTTGACAGGATACTAGTTAGAGGTAGACTGCAGAAGATCTTGAATAACCCCCAAGTTATATATTAAGCCATGGGAAGGTTAACAGGGGATTCAGTTGCCTCGTTTGTGTTTTCTTGGCCTTCAGACATTTATATTTTAGTTTTGTGCTTTGAGTGATTTGCCTGATCACTCTAAAGACCTAAAGACAATGTTAACATGTCTCATCATGTATAAGACTAAGCTTATTATATTCAGAGAACTTTTAATTTAGCTAGATAAATTAATGTCAAAACTTTCCTTGTGGTCAGTCTTTTAATTAGCCATACATGTATAAATTTCTGTAAGTTGGCATGTATAAGAATTAAAGACCATTATTCTTTGTTTGAATGGTCGAAACATAATTTTATCCTTGTCATGATTATCTCATGATTGCTTGAACATTATGTCAGTTTTGAGCACCATCCGTGACAACATTTTAAATTTCTCGAATTATCAACTGAGAATTTTTGCATAGCTTTTGGATTTCTTTTGCAGTGGTTCGAAGATCTTCTCCACATTTATTGGTTTTCTTAAAAGCAAAGATCCCAGTGATGGAACAGAGCAGGCATTGCTGAATGAATTAAGCTCATTTAATGATTATATCAAAGAAAATGTGAGACCTCGATCTTAATTTGCTTAGGGTGGTTCAAACTTAACAATTGATTGTTGTTAGGCAGAACAATTTATACCTTATTAATTTAATCTTAACATTAATAACTGATTTCTCTGGTTCATTAAATGTGTTCAGATTTGCCAATAGCTATGCTTTTTATGATGATGGGATAAATTGTTGATGACCAAGAAATAACATATTTGTTTAAATTTGGTCATTGCAACAAGTTATGTGGTGTGCCTAATTGATTTATTCTTTTCCTTGAAGGGCCCTTTTATCAATGGGGAGAAGGTTTCTGCAGCAGACTTGTCTCTGGCACCAAAGTTATACCATCTTGAGATTGCTTTGGGGCATTACAAGAAATGGTCTGTTCCGGATACACTTCCCTATACAAAATCTTACATGAAGGTAAGCTGTTTATGCTCCTAATGGCTATCTTTCTTCTTGTTTCTTTAGCCTAGAATTTCAGCACATGAAGAAGCAGGTATGAGAGCAACTGATGACAACTATTTATCTCTTCTGCTTACATCTTAATCTGTTCATATGTGCACAGATAATGATTGTTAGTCCTCGAGTCCAAATGAGAACCAGGACTCGATGGTAGAATTAAATGTAAATCTGAATGTGAAATTTGAGTTATTTGTTCTTGCTTGTTATATATAGGTTGATCTATGCTCCTGATCATCTTAATTTGTCACGTACAGACAATTTTCTCAATGGAATCGTTCGTCAAAACACGTGCAAGTCCTGATGATGTAATTGAAGGTTGGCGTCCCAAAGTAATGGGCTAGTTCTTTCCACCCGACCCCAAAATTTGATGTAAGGGGGTATACTATTTACAAGAAATGCTACTCTTCTCGACATGCAAATGGGATCAAGGACCAAATTTCGTCCTGCTTGTTATCGTACTAGACAACTTACTTTTGTTCATCTGAGATAAAACATATATACCCCTCTTAAAGTTAATATCTTATTGCATTGGCTATACGGTCATTATTTGCAAGGTTTCTAAGATACTTTGCACTTTACAGCATTAATTATTCGCTTTCTGATGGGTTTCTTCCCCAACATATGAAATACATTGTTCCCGTCCAAAGGATTTCATTCACCCAGCTTGTAAATGGCCTCTTGCTGGATGAGAGAGCCCTAATTCTTTGTAAAATGGAACATAGGACATGTTGAGTGAGCCCCCATGCTTTCAGTTCATCAATTGAGCTCAACCTGGCATCATAAACAACTTGTCAGATTTATGCACACACAACAATGGCATCAACAATGTTATCAACGGGTTGTACTCTTAAAATGAGGAATTCAGATTCAAATAGTAGAGTTCAGAATTTTCTTAGTATACAGATAATGAATATATCCTACAAACACAATAATTTGAATTCAGATCTTTAAGAGAGAATTATATTCTCATTCAGCACTGAGGTTAATCAATGAATTCTTATACTAACTTAATTGAATATCAGTAAATAATTAATACATACAGTTTTTAAATTTCGTAAATGAATATAAAAGATGTAATTTGGAAATTAAAAAAGAAATAGAAATACAAATATTCAATGTAAAACTCATCGAACGTTGGTTATTAAGAGGCGCGATTAAAGCTCGTTTTCTCCTAATATAATATGAAAATACAATTTTTTTTTTATAAAAAAATCTCTATTATATCCAGAATCCAGATGTGCAGTTGCAGTCTAATAATATTAACCTTCTCCCCCTCATTTTATCAGAAAGCTAAAACTAAAACCCGCCACCATTTAAAAGAAAAAAGAGAGAGGAAATTCTATAATTCTCTGAGAAGATGAGTCTCCACCAAATGGCCGTCTCTCATCCTTTTCTTTTATCTTCACGCTCTGCTTACAATCTTAACCCTCTTTTCTTCTCCAAACGCAGTCGTTTTTGCTTCCCTCTTTCTCACTCTCGTTCCACCTCCATAAAGCGCCGGAGCTTTACTGGTAAATCAATAAATTCAAGCTAAAGTCTTTCTTCACTTTATTTTCTCTCTCTATTCTTATACTGTCTGGTTGCTGAGAAGTGGAGGATGAATAGTATATTTGCTCGAATTAATTCCTATTTGTCTTCTTAGAAAAATTCAGCCTGAGAAAATGAACTTAGAAGTCTTATCTGTGAAAATCTGGATATGAGGAATTTTTCTTAACGAAGGAATGCCTTTTTTACTTTTTAAATGGGTAAAATCATGTTCGGCGTTTGTTGCATATTAGTTAATTGTTTACCTCTCAATTAAAGATAATTTAATTATGTGAAGTGATAAAAGTAGTAGCTCAGCGGTATTAATGAAAGAAATTAGCCAATTAGGGGATAATTCTTTCTAAAATCTTTAGTGCTGCCATTTTAGAGGGCGTATGAGTTTAATTTCCTGTTGCATTTCCAGTTGCTGCATCAGAGAATGGCATTTTCACTTCTCCAGAGTTGGCAAAGTCGTTTGATTTCACTTCAGAGGACCGAATATACAATTGGTATTTATTGCTTAAATGTGATAGTTTGCTATTTATTTTATCTATTTTTATTAAGTACTCTTTCTAATCGAATGTTGAGGTTTTCATGTTGTTTGCTACACATCTTATACCAAATAAAAAGTTTTGATTTAGTGAAGTTAAAACGAAAGTGAATGAATGTATAATGTAAGGGGAGAGGCTATTTTAGTTAATATATCAATGTTTCCTAGACTTGAGATGAGTGTTAGATGTGGTTATATGCCCGAAACAAAATGCTCATTTTTTTTTCCATTGCCACATATGTGCCGGGCACACATGTTATACTTGTGTGTGTGTGTGTGTGTGGAGAGAGAGAGAGAGAACATAGTTCCTTTATTTGTGTCATGTTTGTATAGTGCTTTAGTTTTTTTTTGTGTGTGTGCGCGCACGTGTCCTTGCCAGTATTCCACCTCTACATCCATTTACGGTAGTTTAAAAATAAATTAGTTTTACATACTTTTATATGATTAATAATATAACAAACTGATTGTTAGATTTGACAATATGAATTGTACTTGTAGTACACTTAAAATTTAGGATTGGCCTGATATTTGTATCATGTCACTGTCAGTCGAGACTTTGTTTTAAAATGTTGAAAGCTTTTTGTATTGAACAAATAGTTTGATAATTTTGATTTACTCAAAACTCAACATGCATGATATAAATGAACAAGTATGATATATGACTCTCAGCTTAAACAAATATAAATCATATAAAACTATGCAAGTGTGTGAAACCAATTTAGGTTTACACTCGTGTAAGTGGATTCCTTCCAATATATATACATATATATAATGATCTACATGAATGGAATATGGAATATAACTCTCAGCTTAAACAAATGTAAATCATGTAAAAGTTATGCAATTGTGTAAAACTAATTTTGTTTTACAGCTGTGTAAGTGGTTCCCATCCAATATATATATATATAATACTTTCTTACTTTAGTTGTTATCTCCATAATAATGAGGAACACCCTTAGCTGCTTGCTTGATTTTTTTTTCCTGTTGACATAAGTAGCATAACATTAGATCACGTTTTTTCGCATTAAAATTTTGACCAAATATTGATCTTAAATATTTCATTTATGCAAGTCCTGCAATTATGTATGTTTGTAAGCTTAGACTTATATATTTTATTATGGGAAGATTGTGTGTCTATAAATGCTGCTTTTAGCAACTGTTTTGAATTGGCTGTTAGAAAGCTTGCTTGCTTTGCTGCTGAATGTGTGCATTCACCAGTTTTGGTATTTGGATATGGTTATATGTTCATTACTTGCAGCAAACTTTGTTTACATATATTTCTGTGGAGAGTATTTATGGAACTCTTGGATCTCAGGTGGCAGTCTCAAGGTTATTTCAGACCGAAATTTGACCGGGGAGGCGATCCATTTGTCATATCAATGCCACCTCCTAATGTTACTGGCGCTCTGCATATGGGACATGCAATGTTTGTGACTCTTGAGGTTGTGAAAATGATTTTAAAATGCTCCAGAAAGGACTTAGTTTTATTACTTATTCCATTGGCACTGTCAGGCATTATTGACACAGGATTCATTGTGGTTTTCTGAATTTATTTATGACTTGAGAGTGTAGATAATTAAGTAGGAAACCGTTGCATCTCAACTTCGAAAGATGTTTCATATAGCATGATTTTATTTTATTTCAATGTATTTGAACCTACACTGGTCAATGTAACTCCTTACCCTCAGAAAAATGTTTTCATTGTGAATTGTGAAAAAGATCACTCTTTTAATTGCAATTGGTCAAGGTGAAGATGTGGAGGAGGATGAGATATAAAGATAAAAGGATCCTTCTAGTTCCAATAGATTCTAACCTTTACTTTTTAGACATTGAAATTATTTTAAATTTTATTGGCTTTGCTATTGGTCTTGTAATGCATATTTATTTATTTACTTATTTATTATTCTCCTTTGTTGGTCATTTTTAGGATATCATGGTTAGGTACCATCGCATGAGGGGAAGACCAACACTTTGGCTTCCTGGAACTGATCATGCTGGTATTGCAACACAGGTTAGTCTCTTGATGGCCATGATTTCTATTCATCCAATTCCTAACCTAGAAAGAGAAAAAAAAGAGGACATATTGGAATAGTCTAATAATCTAATTAAACCACCTTCAGATTTAACTTGTGTAATGTTTCTGGTATAAGATGGTCTTTATGGTCATATTATTTTTAATCCTCTTTATAAATATAATGTTTTCATTTTCAATGTTGATTTGTATTATGCCCTCATTATACATTATGTTCCATGAAGAAAATGAGTATAATTGAAGCTATTTTATTTTTCTTTTCCCAGTTGGTTGTGGAAAGAATGTTGACTTCTGAAGGAATAAAAAGGGTAGAACTGGGTAGAGAAGAATTTGCAAAACGAGTTTGGGAGTGGAAAGAGAAGTATGTCTTCCCTTAAATTATTTGAATACTTGGTTTTCCCTGCTGTTCTTTGCTGATATTGAATCTGTTACTCTGTACATATCATCTATGGTATTTTGTTGTTTTGGACAAAAAGGGGGGATGGGCCTATACAACTAAATGAATTCTATCGCTTCTCCCTTCAAATAGGGATACATATGAAGTTTTTATTACTTTCACCCATTGCCTTATTTCCGGTATATTTGATTCTTCAGGTTGCATTGGTATTGGTAATACTTTGTTCTGTATATTTTTATTTATTTTTCTTATTGCTGATTTTAATTTTTATTTACTTTTAAGGTATGGTGGGACAATTACTAATCAGATTAAAAAACTTGGGGCTTCTTGTGACTGGACTAGAGAATGTTTCACCCTTGATGAGCAGCTAAGTCGTAAGATCAGTTTTCTATCTAGTAAAAGTGATCTAGCTAGTCTTCAAAGTCTTTTAAATTATGTGTAAAGTTACAATCCTTGACCTGTTTTACTTGTTAATCATTTGCATCTTTATGTTGTATGCATGATGATGATAATAATAGTAGTGATAATTATAAAGTGATAATCAGGCACTTACATTTGTTAAAATATCAATAGGGTAAGTTCAAGTATCCTGAACCTTGCATTCCTATTGCAGGAGCTGTTATTGAGGCTTTTGTTAGACTTCACGAGAAAGGATTAATTTATCAAGGTATATGCCAAAATTCCATTGATTACTACCATGTTGCACTTTGCTAACTGATATTAACATGTTTATGTTAACCTTATTTCAACATTTGATCATAATATTCTATTCTTCCTCCTTTGCTTTAGCAGTCTATAGTAGGGAAAAGAAAAGAATGTAAATATTATCTTTCCCTTCTAAAAGCTAAAAGAAATTATCATATTTTTGTTTTTTTTTTTATAAAAAGGAAGGCCTCATTAAAAAACCCCTTCATATCCGTCAACCAACAAAGACTTAACGAACATTGGAAGGAGGAAAAGAGTGCCTTAGAAATTTTATCGCATAAGAACCAAGTACAATAAGAACACACTACCACCAAGTACCCTTGGCAGCACTCAACACTGTGCAAAGATGCACTACAATTATGCATATGTTATTACCCTACACAAAACTACCT